AAACTTTATCATTGTACTTTCATTGACGTGCTACATGAAACATTCAATAGCATTGGAAATGAATATTATTGGAGTTTTTTCTCAGTACCAAACCGTTATTTTAACACCTCGACACGTGTTTCGATCACCAAGTGATCATCTTCAAGAGGAAGCTTGAATCTTTCTCTTGAAGATGATCACTTGATAGAAAAAATATTTTGATTTTGGAAAGCTATTTTTCGGTATTTTTGGCCGTTGTCTTCAGGTTTTTATGACGAGCACTGCAGCAGAGCAGTGCTCGAGTTGGTGCTTGACTTCCCAACGGAGACACTACAATCAAGGACAGGTAGCCAGAATAATTAACGTTCATTGCCTGTTATTTTCTATTGAAATCATTCCTGTGTTTTTGGCAGACAGTGACGTCATCACACCAGTCAGGTTGCCTTTCATCTCGCTCAGTCAACCAAAGTGTACCAAATTGTCACGTGGTATCTTGTCACCCAGCTATCTAGGCGGTTAGCCAATCAGAGTGTACCAAATTGTCACGTGGTATCTTGTCACCCAGCTATCCAGGCGGTGAGCCAATCATAGTGTACAAAATTGTCACGTAGCGTCCTCAAACTGTCACGCAGCTCGCCAGCTAATCAGAACGCGCGCTTCTGTATTTCAGAACATCGTGGCGGGAGATTTGAATTTTTTGTGGACATAAATAATTCAAACGGACAGACGATCAAGCGTATCCCACGAGACATACCACCCAGTCACGTGGCGCGCTTACGTCAGCCCATCTTTTGGCTCAACACATTTTTGTTTCATGACGTCATATAACAGTTCTCGTCGCGCTACCATATTCAGTTGAAAAAACTAATCCTATCAGCCTAACGATTTTATTTATAGAAGGTGTGCATTTTGGAAAAAGCAATGGAAGTCCAGTTAAAGGAATAGCTCGAGTACTTCTCAATACTTCCTTCGATTCAGTCCGATTTTCGCAAGGGATGCAGCTGTACAACCGCAATCATGCACGTTGTCGACGATATAATTACAGCCTCTGATCAGGGAAATTATACTCGTTTGATATTATTGGACTTCAATCAGGCCTTTGACATAATCAACCATTAACTATTATTGTGAATTTTATCGTATATAGGTATCGCCGATAGTACTGTTTTGCTCTTTGGATCATTCTTGGAAAATCTTCAGCAGAAGACCAATATAGACGGAGTTGACGTCCAATATATTTCATTAAACCGTGGAGTTTCTCAAGGGTCTATTTTGGGTCCACTGCTATTTGCCATATATACGTTGAATTTAGTCAAGAGTCTTCAGTACTGCAGAATACACCCTGATGACACTCAACTTTATTATAGCTCTCCTCCACAAAGGACTGATACTGCTTGTTGTCGAATAAATGAAAATTTCAAAGCTTTCACAGGGGCAGCTTGATCATCTTCAACAGAAAGATTGAACTGGATTTAATTTTCCTTCATATACTTTATTTACTTCACTTACTTTATTTACTATTTACTTATAATATTCCAAACAGTGCATCAATGCAAATAGGCCTCCATGTCAATGAGTCATATTCTGAAGTGATAATGAATTGAAACTGATTTATAACCATTCGCAAATGAAATTTTCGTGCTATACTGTACAAATGGAACCGATAGGTAAATTATCTAGTTTGATATTTTTTGACGTATTTATCCGTTCTTTGCACTGTATTTTTGTAAATAAATCATTTCGCCTACATTCAAAATGAAGGTGAACATAATCAAACATATTCTCAATTAGCGGACTTTTTTGAGAAAAAAAAACAACTTCATCCATGGAAATGGGGCAAACGGCCTTAAGGATTTCATCGGCAGGTTCTCTTCTGTAATTAGGGCGATGTAATTGCTTTCTCCCACTTGGAAAATTTTTTGTTTCGGCACAAAACAATGCTGGCTCCCTAGAGATAAATTGAACTCTTATTTTTCAATGCGACTACTTTTTATATTTTATCGTTGGCTTTTTTCGTAATTACAATTCACTGTCTCAAATAGTAGCCATTAGGAATGAATGTTACTGATGTTGATACGTTTCTTTTTCTTCAGCTAGGGTTCAAATCACCATAAAATACCAGAGATCAAGTAAGATGTCGTTTCAGAGATACTGAAATTATTTCAATACCATCCAAATTATATGAAACTGCTGCATATGATTTGAATTTCTGAAACGGGTTGTGAATCACAATTCTAGACAGTTCTGTATCGCTGTAACTCTTACTGTCAGTCAGTTGTCTAGTAGACTCCGCATTGATCTTTTTGGCCAATAGACAATGTCTGTGTAATCCACCTAGCTCTTCCCTTTAGAAAAATGTAAAAAAATGTATAAGTTTCATAACCACTGATGATGTACTGCTGTTACCACCGGTGTCAACCAGGTTACTTTTTTTGTACACCAAAGAATTCCACCTGAGCCATTTGCTGGCAAGCTTCTGATCACCAGGCAATTGTTTCGTACATGGTAATCGTTCTAACAATCATCACATATATATATATATTATGTTTGGGACCTAAATCCCAAGTTTTACCACGAATCCTTCGACATACTAATTGCCTAAAAGTTAACATTAAGAAATGTAATGTGTTGAGATTTTATAGAATGAGACATCCTGTCATTGGAAACTACTCCATTAATGATGCAACTCTTCAAACTGTCAAAAGCTTATGCGATTTGGGAATTACTTTCGAAAAAGATCTAAGCTTTATTGATCATATCAATAATATCTGTAATAAAGCATTCAGAATGCTCGGATTCATCAAAAGGAATACCCGGCATATTACAGAATATGATGCTATAAAGACATTATACTTTTCACTGGTTCGGAGTATTTTGGAATATAATAGTGTAATTTGGTGTCCTCTTTATTCTTGTCANTCAGTAACTGAGGGCACAACTTCACTAATCAATTTCGTGGAGATGACATCTACCTTCATGCTTGTTATGGAAAGGATCTCCCTCAGTCCTAAATGGTGGTGCAACGGATCGTCTCTGGAGTTATGAAAGATCCTGGATGCCGGAGGAAAAAATCAACACAAAATCCAATAGATCTGATCCTTCTCGGAACTGTCGAGGAAGAAAGTTGCTGCTACAGATATTCTTACCGTTTTGTCTCACTCTCCTCCTACGGAGGAGTGAAGCAACAACCCAACGTGAATCCTCAAAACTGATACATCTTTGAAGGAGTCCTTCTTCCATAATAGGGAGGCTGTGGTCTTTTGAGTTGGGAGTATCTCCATACTAGAATGATGTTGGATGGTGGCTGTTAAGTTACTTGGAGTTCAGATCTTGTTGTCTACATAGAGCGCGACTATGAGAGAGAGAGCAGAATTAGGAACATTTCCATTTAGGAAATTCAATAATATTCCTTTAGTTTTCATCACTGAACCAGGAGATCAGAACTCTGTTACAGAGTTGGACCCGTTCAGCAAAGGACCTACCCCATAGCTGCAGAGATCGCGACTATATACAAATAATCTAATGCGTGGGATTTTTGAAGGGATTATTGAAGGTTTCAGCTCATTGAAGTACCTGACGAGCACTCGTACTTTCTTCAGATCGATTGGGCTGGATTCGGAAACTGAAGGTGGCTTCCCGAAATGCTGTCTTCAACAACTTAGTTTACCGCAGTCACTGATGAGTGTGGAGGTTTCTGACACCAGCATATAGTATATGCTGGTTTTTAGGCATGACTAAGACGAATATTGCTCGAAAATAGAAGTAGGAATGAATGGTGTATTAACTTTTTCTCTTCGGCCCTCAAAACCTCTAATCAGAGGATCCTTTCAGGATGATTGTACTGTACACAGAATGAAGAGTACTTGATGGAAGTCTGCCATTCTTGACAAACTGCTTCTGTTTAGAGCAGCTGATTTTCGGAATCGATAATCACTATCCTCAAGGGATGAGTAAGAATAATAACCATAACTCCACTGTTCACCACTCAACTGGACATGAACAGGAACGCATTCCGTTATTACAGAAAAATTAGATAGAAGGTGAGTTCAAGTAAACACAAATTATTACTATCAACCGAAGCATGAATATCGTCCATAACTTTCAACAGTGCAGTTGTACAGCTATGTTCAGCTCGAAAACCTGACTGAGTAGGAGGCAGTATATTAAATGTATCAAGATAATCGCGCATTTGAAAGTTCATGTTTTTTGGTTGGTAACGGGATGATTTGAGATTTTTTTCATAATGAGGGATATGTTGGATGCATATATTGAAATATGTGTGACATGGAGAATGATAAAAGGGCAACGAAGCAATAACATTTTGATGCTGATATTATCGGCACCAACTGCATTGGATTTTATCGAGAAAAGTGTTTTATACACCTCATTCTCCGTTATGCCATGGAAAGCAAAACTGTGATCGTCAAAGGAATAGTTGTTGGAAAGAAATGATATGATATCATTTCCTGGATTCGAGATAAGTGAAGAGCTATTACTAAAGAAGGTATTGAGATCATTGGCATTAGTGAGCTCTTCCGGGACGGTTCTATTGGATATTTTATGTATGCCCAAGGAAGCCAAATCCTTCAAAAATGTATTTCTATTACCTTTGGGACGGAACTCCAGATAGTCCTTCTTTCCCAACTTAATTGTGCGGTTTGTGAGGTTCCTCATACGCTTGTAATAATCCCAGTGGGATCATACACACTGTTGGAAGACAGTGTGTGTCGCCTCTGTTTGAAAAATGATGGAACAGCAGAGCACACACTTTGTGCCTGCCCCGCTGGGAACCGAATCAGGTTTCTAGAGTTCATCAGAGCCGTACTTATGTGTAATTTCTAGTATGATTTTTATTAATTATGACCGATTTCGGTTCAATAAACAAGGTTCACTTGAAAGTGGTTCAATAAACCTAAATCAGTCGTAACGCATAAAAATCGTAAAGAAAATTGGACAAGACTTATTTCCTTCATCATATACCTAATTCAACTCATTGAATCTAAATTCATACAAAAAATTACCTTAACATTCATAGACACAGTACTGTTCCAAGTGTCAGGTCGAAAAACCTCAACTCCTTGATCTCCATCCCTGCTTGGAGGATACTTCACAGGAGGTTCTGGTATAGCTCTTGCCAGGTTACCGGAATATGTACTAAGAGCGAAAAAATCGACTGATCCCTTCAACCAGACTTTTTCTGCATCGGTGAATTCCGGAAGACGAGATTTTTGTCGTCCCTCCAGTTTGCTGCGTTCAGCTACACGTGTTTTCACGATTTCTGGATAGTCGCCGTGGTACATTGGGTTAGCATAGATACCAATCTGGAAATATACTTCTCGTTTATGTGAACATAACCTCAAATGAAAAATTTGACGTGAAATGTGGGTTTCCAAAGTGTAATAAGCGCATACAGGGCTGTAGCGAAAAGAAAACCCAACTTTCGAAAAAATGAAAACCAAGGGATTAGTCACTGCTATAATATATTAATTTTCTTACTCAGCTATCCGAAAATTGCCTTAATACTGATGCCTGTTACTGTATGCACAAACAAAAATAAATTTTGGAATAATTTTACTTTGGATTAAGGTCCTTGGTCTTTCACCATATCCACCATGTATAGGAATATTCAATACAAATGAAAGGAAACAACACTTAAATAATATTGTGTGATTGTCGAAAATTATAGTGTGATTTATCGAAAGCTTTTGACTGTGTGAGTCATGAGATACTGCTGTGAAAGCTTCACCATTACGGATTTAGAAATAAGGCACATTCATGGTTTGCGACATATTTATCTGGCTGCAAACAAAAACAATGTCAAGCTTACGTAATATACAATGTGGTGTTCCGCAAGGATCGTTCTTAGGTCCAATTTTGATTTTACTATATCAAATCATCAAATCAAAATATACTTTATTGTCCAAGAATAACAATTCTCATGACAAAGCATACAGTTTATATATTGTGGATTTATTTATGTATTGTGTATTTATTTATGTATTGTGTATTTATTTATGTATTGTGTATTTATTCATGTATTGTGTATTTATTCATGTTTTTACGATATTCTTGTATTTATCTATGTATTGTATATTTATTCATGTTATTACTTCGTACTAGGCGATATCACGCACAAGAAACATTTTTTCGAAAATGTTCCTTTTGTGATGCCTTTGTTTGTTCACCCCTATTTTATAATATTTTTGTTGTGATCATTATGGTGAATAAACTCATTATTATTATTATTATATCAGAGACAGAGGGGTCATATTGGTTACCATTGAGATAATATAGCATAGAGAACCTTCCAGGTCAACGGGGTTAAAGTTGAAAGTGGGGTCATAAGCGGGTGGGGGTGTGAAATTCAAGGTCAGTGACGACAAGGGTGTGAGGACGTCGATAATTCATTTTCAGAATTCAATATCATTGATCAATCATAATATTGGAAACATATCCGGCACAAAAAACTCACTTCGAAATGGTATCTCCTTTCAGCTGCTTCTTTATCTCCAGAAGTGTCAGTGGCAGGTACGGTAGCGGGAGCATCGAAAGTAATTCCAATTTTACCTGAAAATGTGTTTCTCATACATTTTTGAAGTGGAAAACATTGAAAAAAATTCTCAGAAACATTATGTTCAACAAAATATCAATCAGTATGAAATATTGAGAATTGTCCTGAGGAAGTTTGATTGTTAATAAATCCAAAGTGTGGAGTATTTCAGATGATGTTTTGAGGATACCTTCTGTGAGAAGCTTATAACTCTTCTGAACTTTTTTCTAACAAGAGTACAATCATCGTATGTCACTGTCAACATTTCAATAATTTTTCAACACTTTATCGAATTTTCCAACACAGAATTTGATGCAGAGTCTTTGATCATTTTGAACAATCACCTTGTGTTTTGAAGAGACCTCGTATTTACAATATTTTCTAAAAGTGGTTTTGCAATAATGAAAATGACCTTCAATGATATGGATAATCCACTAACTTGCTGATATGTAAATACACTAATTTCCCAAAATTCCATTCCAAATGATTTTAATATGAATGAAGTCATCCAATAGACTTCTGAAGCACCAGAAGCAAACTTTCAAAAAAATTACCTACCCCCTTGTTTCGATCTGAACTCCTCATCGTAGATATGCCAAGCTCTAGCGTGAGCTTTTATCACATTATGGTTGCATTCGTATTCTAGGAGCCCCTGCGACTTCACCATAGGTGGGAAGAAGCCGTAACCGTATCCACCAATACAGACCTGTTTGGGTTCATTGATAGTGATCCAATACTGGACGTCGTCTCCGAAGGATTCAAAACACACCCTGGCGTAGTCCCCGAACCAGTCGATGATGCTATCATTAAGGAATCCACCTTGGTCCAGCAGGACCTGGGGCAGATCCCAATGGAAGATTGTTACCAGAGGTTTGATGCCGTTGTCTTTGAGTTCTTTTAGGAGATTCTTGTAGTAGGCGACTCCCAGTGGATTCACTTTATCTGCAATACCTGTGTAAAGACATTATTAGCTTTTTGAGGCACTACATAAATGTAAAACAAACATTTTGTAAAACGTCATTAAAATATCCGAATAACAACGAACTGAAAGAAACATATGTAGCATACAGAAATGAGCTTAACAAAATCGTCGAGGTAGCTAAGAAAACATTCTATTCACAACAAATACAAAAAAGAGAAAATAACTCCATGGATGTTTTTTAAGAACGTGGGACTATCATCACAGACAAAATGTGACAAATGTTTCGATTCTGGGTGCTTTCCAGTGGTTTGATAATATGGATTGATAAAACCTATGAATGAAAATGGAGATAAATCAAAAATCAATAACTATAGACCAATTTCTTCACTGTCTAATATTTCAAAAATTCTGGAACGATTGATAAAATTAGACTGACCAAGTTTTTGAAGAAATTCAACAATTTTTGGAATTTCAGTACGGTTTTAGATCAACCAAGGATGCCATTTATAAACTCACTACAATAATTCATAATATTCTAGATGAAAAAATACCCATACTTGGAATATTTATAGACCTCTCCAGGTCTAGGTATGTCACAAAACCCTTTTACGAAAACTGAATGATTATGGCACCCGTGGGAATACACACAAGCTTTTTTCCAATTATTCATCAAATCGTGAACAGAGTGTTGAAATTGATAGGGTCCTAAGTGTTTCCAGAATGGTGTTCATCAAGGCACTGTGCTGGGACCACTTCTTTTCACTATCTATATGAATTTATGATGCACTGTTTGGGATCTTTGGTGTAGTAATGAATATTACTGGAGTGTTTTCCCAACACCAAATCGTTATTTTTAACACCTCGACACATGTTTCGATCACCAAGGGATCATCTTCAAAGAGGAAGATTGAAACTAGAAACTAATGCGAGTTAACTCTATTTATGCTATATTTGTATCCCATAGAGGTAAACCATTCAGGCATACCACTCATATAGGTATACCAACCTAAATTAGTTTTACAATTTTGCCTTATCTATTATTTTACAATAAATGTTCATATAAAACAATTTTCAGCTACATAAAAAATAATTTCACAATATTGCCTATCCAAATTTATTTTTGCAATGTGTTCTTATGTAGTAATCAGTAAACCCAACAACATTATTAGGTTAGGTTAGGTAAGGTCAGGTAGGTCCTACCTACCTGTATGAACTCTTTAGAGTTCATACAACATACAAAAAACGTGGTTCTGCAAGAAGGTGAGATTTCAGTTTCTTTTGATGTTATTTCCTTATTTCCTAGCGTCCCAATTCCACAGACCTTGCAATACCTCAGGAAATTACTAGAGAAAAATAATTTCAATAATAGCGGAATCGATGAACTCGTTTCTTCATGAACAACAGGAAGGAACGGCCATGGGAAACCCCTTGTCCCCCTATCTGGCCGACCTGTTCATGAGCAGATTCGAAATGGAAACCAACACACTTCAGAGAAGAGCTGATATGACAATAGGACAAAAAAATATATGCATATACGAAAACGCAAGACTGAATATGTTTTACTGATTGAAAAATGTTGGTGTGAAATTTCCTTCACAACAATTTTTGCCGATATCTACTGTAACAAATTCAAAATGTATTACAAGATGAATCGATGACTTTTCAAATGACGTATCGTTTGCCCTCTGATCCCAAAAAATGGAGGTCTTTAAATAGATACCAATATGATTCTACATAAACTCAGTGAATGGTTTGAAGAAAGTATCAAGAAATTAGTCAAATTAATACATGATGATACGCAAAATGAAATAGTATCCTCAACAATTCAACCCATTACTTAAGTCATTTCAAATTATTGAGAAGCTAGTTTATATATTGTTACTCTTTTAATAGAGTATATGGAACGTATATGCGAATATGTAAACTATGAATACTCGTCTGCTTGAGTACTTTTCAATATATGCCGAAAGTATCAACAGTGATGCCAATTTCAAAAATGAAGAACGAAAATCAAACTAGTGTCACTATTTTTCGGGTTTGGAGGTTGTGTGTTTTTGGAATTTCTTCCTGACATTTCGCTGGCGTCACAGGCTTAAACATCCTGAGTCAATATCTCCGCATATTTATGTTGACTCCTAAAGTAGTTTGCTGTGCTGATACCTGTACTTGGCACATGTGGATTGGTAAGATTGGAAAGTTAGCCCAACTGTTACTGAACAATTAGTTTTTGAGAAACTCAACTTACCATTGGGTAGAATTCTGTTCCAAGACAGAGATAATCTGAAGTGATTGACACCCAGTGATTTGAGCAGAGCTACATCTTCTTTGTATTTGTGGTAGAAATCGCAAGCTACATCTCCATTCGTACCATCCATAATAAAATCTGACCGGCGGTGGGTGATGTTGTCGAATATATTTTCTGTCTTTCCATCTTCATTCCAAGCACCTGCAAATGATGCGTTAGAGCCTTTTTGATAATGAATTCGTGAGTTTCGCACCTTCTGTTTGATATGATGAACTTGCCACACCAAACATGAAGTTATCGGGAAATTTTTTATTGTTTATAACATAGCCTGCGTTGGCTGCACTGGAAATTTGCAAAAAAAGTGATTGAAACACCCCAAAAAACTAAAAAAGAGACTTCAACTCACCATGTGTTCAAAATCAGCACAAAAATGTACAATTTTTTCATTAAATTCATTTTTGTCGATTCAGCAATGTTAGATGATCACTGTCTTCTGACATAACCACATGAAACTAATATAGTTCAATAGATTATGAACTTGTGTTGAGTTAGCATCGAAAAGTGCATCCTAGCCTAGATCTTTGGACTCACTATTTAGTCCAGTGGATGTGGGATTATATGCGGTATGTTTAGAAAAATATAAAATTGAATTGACCTGAATACTTCAAAGAACTGTGGTTATTTTGGAAGTCATCTGTTGGAGTGGTTATGATCCCATAGTACCAATCGTTAATGGACTGAACAAAAATGGCATAACGTTAACACGTATGAACATTTTTTCGTTAATTTGAGAAATTGAAAGTTTCCGAAAAATTTCCACCCAGGAATGATTTCAGTTATTTTTTCATTAATAAAATTTTCAGGAAAATACTCGTACATATATATGTGATGGAATTGTGTGAATTTAAGAACTATAGGACGTTTACATATACATTTAAAAAATATAACTGTGATATTATCACGAACTTTTGGCAGCTAACTATCACATTTTGTCATCGATTTGTGCTCCGATTGATCTTAAGTTCTCTTGAGCTTTTTACTCGAATTTCTCATCACCGGCTCTCTGTTTCTTCAGTTTTGATGATTTTTCTCATCGTCCTATAGGCTTTGTTCCAAGTCCGTTCTTCACGTAGGAGACTTTCCATCATGTGTTTGGCACTGAATATGGTATTTGTTCCCATCTTATACAGACTGCGTCGTCGTCTGCATTGCAGTAAAGACAATCTGGAGATTCTGGTCTTCTGCGGCTATATAGGTACCTACGGAAGCAACCGTGCTCCGACAGTGCCTGGGTGAGGTAATAGTCCACCTCTCCGTAGGTTCGATTCAACTAACTCTCTATTGCAGGTATTAACCGGTGTATCCATCTACCGTATTGACCGCTATCCAATTTTCATTGCCAGTTTTTTCTCAAATTTTCTCTAGCAATTCCTTTGAAAATGTCTGCATATTTCTCTCTTCTCTCGATGACTTGGAACTCTATTGGTGGAACTCCAGCAATAACACATGCTGCTTCTGCAGATATAGTTCTAAATGCACTACATATTCTAACTGTTAATTTCTTTTGTAGGCCGGTGAGTGTTTTTGACTGATTCTTTGTTTTGCGTTACTGTGTGCCATGATGGTGAACTGTACAAAATCTAGGACAAAATATTTCTCTTGGAGAACCTAAGACCCCTAATATTGGGCATCAGATTGGCCAGCGCAAAACTGTTCTTTTTGCCTTGATAATACTTTGGGTTCCTCAAAGGTGAGCTGCGTGTCAAGCCATACCCCAAGATACTTAACAGCTTTGCTCAGTACTACCTCTATGCCTTGCAAATCAAAAGTTATTGGTCCCGGTTTTCTCCTTTCAGTGTGACCAATACTGCTTCGGTTTTTTCTGGAGCTGAACTAAGAAGTCTACTTTCCCTCCAGTCTGCCACCATCGAAAGTGCTCTATTTGCAGTGTTTATTAAAAGTTCTTTTCTCTTCTTTTTCTCTAGGTGTTGTCCATCAAAGTAAATAAGTCACATCTTTTACACAATGAACTTTGGAAAAGTGGGAATTGGGTTTGTACCTGATGAAATATAATGACATCGCTGAGATACATCAACATCACAATTTTCGCATCAAAAACTACTTCGAGGTTCAATATTTTTTAGTTTTCCAAAGTTCATTGTGTGACTTTTTTAACGATGAAAAATCTTTTTCACCTAAAACACCTTATTATTCTGATTCTTAAGGTGCTAAATCCAAATATGACACTTATTAAGCCGTATCATCTACCATTTTTTCACATTTGCACATCAATATATTGAATTTTTCGATTTATTACAGAATTTAACAGCTTTTCTATAATAGAAATAAAATGGTAATGTGTGAATGGGACAGTAGAGGGAGTCTTTAAAACCCGGCGAGAAGAACATTCTCCGCATAAACCTTGTAGATTCTAGAAACATTCTCTTACCACCTCTACATATGAATTTAGGCCTCTTGTAATAGTTTGTAAAGGCATTGCCTAAAGATGGAGCTAGTTTCAAGTATCTCTCTCAGAAATTTCCAAACCTTTCAGAGGTTAAACTTGAAGAAGGCGTCTTTGTAGGAGCCGACATTCGTAAAATAATGTTCGTCATCAACTTTGAAACCACAATGACCATACAGAGGAAGAAGCATGGATATCATTCAAGCCAGTTGTTACAAAATTCTTAGGAAATGCAAAAGACCCAAAATATCGTACCATTGTAGCTAACATGTTGAAATATTTCAAGAAAGTGGGATGTTTGATGAGCCTGGAAGTCCACTTCTCGAACAGTCATCTTGATTACTTCCCGAAAAATTTGGGAGATGTTAGTGAGGAGCAGGGTGAGCGTTTTCACTAAGATATCAAATTGATGGAAGAACATTACCAGGGCCGCTGGAACATCAACATAATGGGAGACTACTGTTGGTCACTTCATCGTGAAGCTCAACAAGCGACTCATCGCACTTCAAAGAAAAAAGAGAAAGGAAGTATAAACCAATTCTATCTGACTAGTGGAGCCTACATTGAACACTGTATCATTATTTCATATAACCTTCTGTAAATAAAAACCATGTCAGTGATTCAACATTGTGTTTCATTAATTTTACCATATACCGTACAGATTTTAAATTATATAAGAAAAGTAAATTTTTCAAAAACTATGGGTATACAAAAAAACTAAGACCAGATTTGTGTGCAGCGCACAAAAATCTATCAAAATCAGTTATTGAAGTAAACAAAGTTTTCAAAAACATTTTTTGTTGGCCTGTGTAATCAACACCTTGAGAAAATAGAAGGAAAAATAGACAATTAGTATTCTCATAGTCAGAAAAGGATCACCTTGTTGAAATTATCGAACTATCACCATACTCTCATTTCCAAAAACTCACTGGAAGACCTAAATGAATCCAAAGGAAAGTTCATTTGAAATAAACTGAAAACACTATTTTCCAGGCCTTTGGCTACCTAGGAAATTCAATTAAGGAAATAACATCACAGAAATTGGTTTCGAAAGAAAGATGAAAGAAAATGAGTTAATAATCCTCTTTTTCACAAAGAGCTTAGATGTTCCAGAGAAACGGCAAAAAAAACTCGCGAAATTTTTCATTCAAGAGATTTGATGCAGTTGTTTCAAACCCATTACCTCATTTTCATGTGTATTTGAAATTCAGTACTGAAATTATTTTGTGAAGTGTTAAAATATACAAATTTGAATTGAATGAAACCCTTTGAAATTTGATTGAATGATACAAAAAACATTCAGAGACTTTTTGATGAACATTTTATTGAAGCTCATGAAAACGCATTATTTATTGATGGGTTTTGAAAATGAATGGTACAATATTTGATTCGAAGAAATATTTTATTGATAACCTTTATAACAAACAGAAATGACAATGCCTTCCTATGAGTCATATAACTGAACAAAAATTAAATTTGTAACAGTATAGCTACACCGGTAAGGACCATTTTAGCGATTTTTCCTTAGTTTTCAAATTGAATGTCCATACAAATGTAGGACCCCTCATTCTTGTTTTATAAACCGGACAATCATACATTTTTCTGAGATCTCGTTTATCCTGGGTATTAGCTTTGATGAAAATTACTGGTACAACAGGAAAGAGTTCCTTCAATTCTGAGTCAGCTAAGCTGTTCAGTTGAACATCCCACCTTCCTCCTTCCATGAAAAGACCGTGTACATAGGCACCCTCTCGTGGTGCAGAAGTAAAATCATCCTTCTGCTTCTTCGTGACATCAGTCATTAAACACATTTTGTCCAAAGGCCATTCGTTCTTCCTAGCGGTTTGTTGCATAATTGCTGTCAAGAACGACTATGAATTGAAAAATCATCCTAGCCAAACTGTTGGAGACTTGGAAAAATCAGTTGTCCACCCTTCTAGTTCCTTAATACGTAAAGTAAGGTCACCCAGCGATAGTAAACTAGGAAAAGCTTTCGCCGCCCAAGAGTCTGCTACTTGATCCATGAAGATGGACTGCTCCAAACTCTCCATGTCGCATGTTATCGTCAATTCTCCTTTCATTCCTAAGTCTAATTCATGCAGGGATCTTCTCATTTCTGATGTTAGTATGTTCATCCGCTCACATTCCTGGAAAGCAACTATGATGTAGGGAGTTCTATCTTCAACTTTGGCCATCATTTCTGCGACAGGAAACTTTTCTGGAAGTTTTTCCATTATTTCTTCGAAACCACTTTGAATCTTTTCTTCCTCTTCCCTTGACATTCCGCTACCAGCAGCAGAACCATAATCGCTTGGTTGCATCTCAAATATAGTTCTAGACATGACTTTCGACGTATTACCTAAAAACCCTATCTCGGCGTTGGGGTGCAAACCGTATAGATATGGACTCTCGTGCGATAACCTCTCATCTATGTATCGATGGTATCCCTTGTAATCAGTATTCGGCGGTGCTTGGAATCCTTGGGTGTATCGCAAGTCTCCTTCGTCGAGTTCCGGCTGCATGTAACCCATCAAGTAGCTGCGGCACAATCTCCTGTCCCAGTCATCGGTAATGTGCCCTCCATACATGATTTCGCCAAAGAGATACCTCAGATCTTCTCAAGGTACCTTCTGATTATTTTCCAAGTAGTTGTAGAGTACACTAACACTGATTGTTAAGTCTCCAACATTGAAAGGGTAGTTTCGGTTCCACCCCTGCGGTCCAAATTTTCTTCTTTCAGCTACAACTGCATGAAAATAGCACAAGGCAAAAAGGATGGCCTTGAACTCCGCTTCTTTGCCGCTCATCTCTAGAGTTTCTTGATTGAACTTATCTAGAGATTTGTGCAAGTTAGCAAACAAGTTAGTTGATTGATTGTTCAATGTTACAATAACTTTCAAAGAGCACTAAAAAAATGGCTTTGATATATTACAATTTGATGAAATTGCACATTTTTCCCCAACTATTCATTGATAAAAATTCTTGCAACGGAAGGAAAAACTCTGAACTTACAGTACATCTTCCAGAGAAGGTTCTTAATTGCTCATTTTTCTTAGAATACGATTTTATCAAACAGAGATCAATTGAGGTTTCGTTACTTT